GTTCTAGTCATGTTCCACTTGTAATAAGGGAGATGAAAATTAAAACCACAATGAGATACCACCTCACCAGTGAGAATGGCACATCTTAAAACAACTAGCAACAACAAATGTTGGTGAGGATGTGGAGAAAAGGAACTCTCCTGCACTGCTGGTGGGAATGCAAACTAATATAAGCACTATGGAAAACTGGAGGTTCCTCAAACTGCTAAAAATGGAGCTTCCACATGGCCTAGCCATCCCACTCCTAGGTATCTACCCAAAAGACACAAAAACACTGATTCAAAAAGACACCCGCACCCCCATGTTTATTGCTGCTTTATTTACAATATGAAAGATGTGGAATCAACCCAAATGCCCAAAAGTAGATGACTGGATTAAAAAGATATGACACATATACACAATAGACTATTACTCAGTGATCAAAAATGATAAACGCAGGCCTTTTGATCAAAAATGATAAACGCAGGCCTTTTGCAGTAACATGGATGGAGCTGGAAGGGATCATACTTAGTGAAATAAGCAGGAAAGAAAAAGAAAAAGAAAAATACCGGTGATTTCACTCATAGCAGGGACATAAAGTGGGGTGGGATGGGGGGAATGAACAAATATACCAGAGACATTTTACGGAGACAGAATAGGGAATGGGGTCAAAAATTGGGGGTGGGGGTTAGTGCACGGGACTATGGTGATAGCATACGGGTGAATTGGTGATGGGAAGTCTGGGGATTGCAGTTGAGATGGGAAAAGGCACAAAATGATGTAAAAATAAACTATTATATTGAATTGGTGATGGGAAGTCCGGGGATTGCAGCTGAGATGGGAAAAGGCACAAAATGATGTAAAAATAAACTATTATAATAAAAATTTAAATAAAAATGTTCTAGGGATGTTCAATACCATAAATTCCTTAGTAATAGCACCCGGTAACTGAAAATACTCTGAACTGCAATAGGGTTTCATCAAGAAGAAACAGGAGCTGGTATCCTCCTAGGTATGCTTTCTCCACGCACACGTTTAGAGGGTGCTCCAAAGGAAAAGCATGTCCGTAAGCTTTCTCTACAGCAGGATCCAAGCCAGGGACTGGCAGGCGGCCGGCGCCTAGACAGCAACGGGGTGCTGGGACTCCAAGCCCCGAAGCTAAGCAAAGGATCCACCCAAGGTCCCACTAAGGAAGAACCCCACCAAGGCGGCTCTCACGGGATATTGTCCTTCTCCAAAGGTGGACAACTGAGTCCACGCCCGCCCGATATGCCTTGAGAAAGGCCACGGTCGCCTTGCTCCCCGAGTGGGAAAGGAAGTAAACACGGTAAGATTAGGGCGATCGCAGCATAAAAGTAAAAGGAACAGAGTGTGAGGGGCGCCCCAGCTTCCCACCTGCGTCAAGCTCCAGCTGGTAACAGGGCAGCGGCTCCAAGGAGAGCTTATAACCCTCGAACCGGGGATCCAACAGCGGTCTCTTCACTCGGAGGGAGCAATTAGCAGCCACTTCCATGGCTCTCCAGGGTACCAGCGTGAAAATTAATAAAGCTCTTGTTGAAAGGTCCGCGCTTCACTCTTAGAACCCAGACTGGGAGGCGGCGTGGTTCCCATCCCAGAAAACACTGCGGGACAGACTGCCTTCTGGGAAATGTAGTACCCGTGAGAACGCTGACTGTTGCATGCTGGGCTTCGTAGTTTTCTGGGGGATTTAGAGCCCGTACAACAGTACTGTCTGGACTCTCTTACCCAGAAGGCTGAGCAACCAGGAGGCGGCCCGCGCTGGTTAAATTCTCACATTATAGGCAGGGAGGCGAGACCCCGCCCCGGAAATGCGTGTTCTAGCTTTCTGTGTGCTTAGGTGCCCGAGCTACTGAGGGTCTAAGTCTGGGCAGCCGAAGAGTGTGGTAGGTAACGGTCGCCAGCGCAAGGGTCATTTCGTCGCTGGGAAGGGACGGCCCTCGCCCGCGGTGATGGTGGTGAGCTATGCCCGTGGTCCTTAGGGCCGGGACCCGGGCCCAGCCCAGGCTCCTTTCGATGTGCTGTCTTTCCTTAGCTTCCCCGACCCGCGCTCGCGGGCCTGTAGGGCTTTCCGACCGGGCGTGCTACCGGAGTTGGCCAGAAGCCAGTCCTCGCTTTGTTTTCTGGCTCCTCCCCTCCCGCCTCTCCCGCTGTCTCCGCCCTACTCTATTTTCCCAAAGAATGTCTGAACTGGGAGGAATACCTTAGCGCTCTTCTTTTGCCAGTGAGAAAACTGAGGCCTTTAAAAACTAAGTGACTTGTCCAAGGTCACTATCCATATTTTAGGGGCCAAGGCGAAATCATATTCAAGATTCTAGGGTGGGGGCTGACTGGACCGTGGCATTATTTTGAAAGTGTTAGCCAGCAGCTACAAAAGCAGATCTTTCCCCAGCCCGTTCTTTACCCTGTTCACCTCAAAAAAAAAAAAGAAAAGAAAAAGAAAGAAAAAAAGAATCAACTATGAAAACTCATTGGCAAGTCATGCGTTTTCCTACAGGCGAGATAGGGGAGAACAAAAGTAGTCTCAAGTTAGTGACATTTAGGTGGGTAATGTTACCTTAGTCCAGATTTTAAGATTTTACCACCTAACCTTTTTCTTTCTTTTTTTTTTTAAACATCATCTTAGTTAAGCTTCTCTGTTTTTACTGAAAATTGAGAATCCTATAAAGGAGATTCGTTTCAGATTTGTTTTTCCTTGTGTTCCCAGCAAACTTTAGTAAAGAGCATATACGTGCTTTACTGCTACTTTGGCAGTCGTAATTCTGGTTAACATCCTCAGTGAACAGTAAGCTCTTAGAATTTACCAGAAATTTTCATTCTTTTTTTCATAGGTTATTTTGAGTTATAGCCAGTGACGGTGCAAAAATGTTTAGCAATCAGTTATGTGCAGTAGTGTTTAGGGGTCCTGCACTTAAAGTCCCCGAGTTCAGCTCCTGCCTTCATGGTCTATCTCTCTGTGCCTCAGTTTTCTCATCTGTAAAATGTGAATTATGTTAATACATTAAAAAACAAGTTCTGGGAGTTAGATGTGATTAAAAGCCCAACAAGTTAATCCAATACCAAGCACGTATGTGTTTAATAAGTGTTACATTAATTATTACTGTCCCGAGGCTTGTTAACAAAGGGGATGATATGAGGGAGGAAAATTATAAAGTGAGTTTATCAGTATGACTTCTTGAGGTGCAGTAAATAATATTAAGTGTAATGACATTTGTAACACATTGTTGAAATTAACCCTTCAGTTGGTAGACAGAATATTAAACATGTTGGGATGTTTACCTACAGGATTTAGAAAAAAATGCTTTGTAAATATTCTGTATCTGAAAATACATGTTGATGTTCAGGTTAGCAAGATGAACAAAGATGCGCAGATGAGAGCAGCGATTAACCAAAAGTTGATAGAAACTGGAGAAAGAGAACGGTAAGTAATAGATTATGTTAATAGATTTCACATCTTATAAGTTACAGTTGCATTATAAGAATCAAAATGTCAAGGGCAAAACTGATGTCAGTGGGAAGAATTACAGTAAACTGAGATTATCAAAAGTTTCATTTCCTGAATTCTCTAAACAGGTATGTTCATTATTGCAAGTCATTGAGGAAATTGAGTGATGTAGAAGAAAAATGAATCAGAGAATATAATCTGTATGGAAATAACTACAATTGAAGATATACGTAACACTACCCAGGTTTTAACAGAGAGACAGTATGATGGTGCCAGTTTCAGCTTTTAACCTTGGAGCAATATGTGCTGTTTCTCTTATTAAACTTTCTTCTTCCTTCCCTTCGTTTTCACCTTATCCTCTCATCTTCCAGATTTTAATTTAAATACCATCTTTTCTAGGTATCTGTTGAACCCCCAATACTTTGTTCTATTATAACATTCTGTTATATTGTAACCGCCACCTTCTTAGTTGTATCCTCCAAATTAATTTTCTTGGCAGCAAAAATAACATTGTATACCCAGCAATGAGCAGAGCATTTTAATAGGCTAAGAACATATTTGAGAATGAATAGGCTTAAAAGTACAAAGGAAAACCTAAGAAATCAAGAATGCTTCCAGAACCAGGGTGATAAGTTATATAAGAGAAGTATATATAAAGAACAGATGGCTCTTTGATCTTTACCAAGAGGTTAAGATATCAAAAGTAAAGCCTCACTGAATAGTAAAAGAAATACTTTAGCTGGGAAAGAAAATTTGTAATTCTACAAACCAGTAAAGAGGGCAATTAGGGAAATTTAACAGAATGTACAATCTCATAGATTTGTTACATGATGATAATTTGAGGAACTGTAAAATGAAAACTAGAAGGTAAATGTCAATACATTGACAGGAGGACTGAATTTTGTAAGTCAGAATTCTGTCCATTGGAATTGTTAAAAACTGGACCTCTCTGGTGGCACAGGGGTTACAGACTTAGTGATATCAAGCTATAGCCAGCCATTGCAGCACAAGCTCAATCCCCGGCCAGGGAAGTGACCCACATGTTGCAGCAGACCTCACTTGTCTCAACTGCTGCTCCCCTCAGCAGTGTATTTTACTAGATCTGCTTGTTCTGTTCCCCACTCTCTCTCTCTGGTGAATCCCCTCACCCCTGTACCTCTAGCCTAGATTCCAGTTCTTGTATTCATAAATAAAATAAATCTTTAGAAGAAAGAAAAGAAAATGTTAAAAACTAAACGCAAACTTGGCTTAGCCAGTGGAAATATATAAACTCACCTAAAGAGTTCAAAGTTGCTTCAGGCACTACTGGGTTCGGGCTATCAAATTGTTTTCAGGAATAATAAGTCTTTTTCTCTGCCCTGCTTTCTTCTGGGTTAGCCTTATTGTCAGACATGATCTACCAGCTAAGTGACAGAGTAGCTAGCGTTTCAGAATTTAATACATTCTGACTAGTAGTTTCAAAAAAACACTTAACTCTCCTCTACTTAGGTAATAGACCAGTTTCCACCTATTATCTGTTAGCTTTGCTTAGACCACATTTCTTTCTAGATCCCTATCTAGATTTCTTACACTGAGAATTGCCTAGTGGTTTTCTTGTTGGTGGTAGTTTTTCTTTCTGGTAAAGAAGGGGCAGAGAAATAAATGGTGGGTTTGAAAGCATTTCTGTTATTTTCTTTATCCTTCAGTGATAGGGGTCACAAAGGATTTTAAGACAGAGAATGTAACACATTTGTATACTAGGAATGTTTTCAGCAGTGTGGAGGGTAGACCTGAAGGACTAGATACGGGTTATAGAAGAATGTGTTAGAAGATTATATTAGGCTAAGAATAAAAAATAGCAGAGTTGGAAAGGAGAATTTAGACTTTTTTTTTTTTAATAAAAGCAGCCCTCAATACAGGAATGGGGAAGAAAGGACATCTAGAACAATGCTGTGTGAAACTGAGAAGATAATAGTGCCAGCAGTGACTATAGGTGATTTTATTCTTCATTTGTTTGTGTTTTCAAATACATGCAGTGTAAAGTTAGATTTTCTACCATATGTCATGTCTTGTTAAGGTGCTAGAGGTACAGTGGTGAACAAAATGAAAGCTGTTTATCATTGGCATTTACATTCCAGTGGAAGGAAACACAATGTAACATGTCAGATGGTGATGAGCTCTAGTGGGAAAATAACACAAAGAATAATGAGGTGGGTTATTTTGGATAGGGAGAAAAAAACAAACAGAAAAGACTTCACTAATAAGAGATCAGAAAAATATGAGGGATTTTTTTCTTAAGAGTGTTCCTCCCACTCCTTCATATTCCTGAGACAGGAATTTGCCTGGCACTTTTGAGGACATCATGTACATTTGCCTGGCACTTTTGAGGACATCATGTACACTAATAATAACAAATAAGTTGGAGGAGAGAGAAAAGATAAACTCAGGGATATACCTGGAGAGGGGCAGATCAGATCAAGGGTCATTTAGGCTACAGCAAAAACCTGCAGTTTTATTCTGGATAAACTGGAAAGTCACTGGCGAGTTTTGAACAGTGAGAGGAAGATGCAGGGGTACAAATTAGATATTTGGTAGTTAAGACAAGATGGCAACTTGAGCAGGGCAGTATGGCAGAGAATGGAAAACATTTTGAGTTTAGATACATATTTTTTAAATGGAGCCAGTAGGATTTGCTCATGGATTGGATATATAGTGTTAACAAAATCATTGGGTGAAGGATACTGCCTAAGTCAGAAGACCAGAGATACCATTCTAACTAACATGCATGATGTGGGGAAGCAGTAAAAATTGGGTTTTCACCCTTTTAAGAGGCCCAACTAAATATTGAAGATGGAAAGGCTGCTGTGTACATATCTAGGAATGTTGTTGATTTTTTTAAAAGACTTATTAAAAAAGAGCTGGGGTGTAGACCAGCGGTGCAGGGTGGGTAAAAGGATTCACCACAGACAGAGGAGTGCAGAACAGGCAGATCTACTGAAATACACTGCTGAGGGGACCAGCAGGTGAGACAGAAGTGGTTTAGATCCCTGGCTAGGGATCCGTGCTGCAATGGCTGCTGATAGCTTCATAGTGCTGAGACTTAACCCTTTGTGCTACCAGGGAGGCCCAATATCTAGGAATTTTGAAAAT